TGCAAGATTCGCAGTGACTTGGCGATGCCCTTTAGCTCGTGTGGCTCCACATTGGGTTATCACCGCGAGTTTTCTGGATACAGACGTCTCCTAGTAATTTTTGAACCCTCAGCTTTCAAAGCGCCGACATGAATATATTGAATAGGCGGGTCGTACCACTCTTTGATATTATCAGCAACGGCAATTTTTCAATATTTTACTAATGATCCAGTTTATGGTGGTCTTAGAACTTCGTTTCTGATGAGTAGGGGCTTTCCTTTTTTTGAGCGAGAAATAAAATCTTGCACGAAGAAAGCGATGGTCCAGTCACGTGAAGAATTTTGGAATAACAGCGATATTGATTAGGCAAAACCTTATGTTTACTATGATTTAGTCTTCTTCGTTGTGGTGCTCTCGAAAACTCCCACATCCACCATTCCGTACGCAACTTCTACAATTTTGAATTATCATGAACGATCTTAGTCGATATGATAGGCTCACACAGCCTTTCACCCTGTTTTCTCCGTTTTAATACATGTGTCTTAATGTGGCCCTCTTCAGACGTTCTTTTAGGTCCAATTTTGCGTTAAAACCTTCATTGACAAATTTAACGAGTGTACGGCCTTATAGAACTTCTTCAGCAACTTCTGCAAGCCCACATAGAACACTTAGACATTGTCTTTGTCATGGGTTGATGGTGGTGTGTACACGATTAAGCTAAACGTCCGATTCGGGTTGTTAGTTGTTCGGATTTCTCTCTGCGGTTCTTATAGATTAATTGCGGTTTTCTTAGATCGATTTAAAGTAAGAAGATTATTGGCTGTGTTAACCATTCATTCGTCGTCAAAGCTCAGCTACATTTAAAGAGGATGTTGCTATATATATTATAAGATGAGTTTTATTTGAAAAAAAAACCGCAATTGTGATACATTTCTAGGATAAGGTTATCCTTTCTGACGTCAGGTGATCTTGAGTGACGTGAAACTGACGAATTCCAAGCAGCGCCATAGCAACGCGCAAAGGGATAAAGCGTCCAACTTTGATCAATCGCTCAAGTATGCGTAGTGCCCTTGACTCGGTTAAGCATCGTTGAGGTAGTTGAACGCATTTGTGGCTTATACCAGGTTGTTTAGGAAGTATTGCATAAAGAGTCGTAAACATTCTTTTACTACTGACGACAGGAAATGAAAACTTTGATAGAGGAACACACGCTACAGGTCATGAACTTACAGAAGAATTTAGCGGAAGCACCTCAGCTATTCTGAAGATCTAGAAAACTAGATAATGAAAAGACGTGACTACTGCTTGCCGTACGAACTAAGCGTTTCTAAAATCACCGTTTAATGCTTAAGAAAAGCGACATATTTCTCTACCTTATTATATTGTGTGATGAGAAATAGATCTAGATCCTTTGTAAGAGCCGGTGACGATCAGCACAGTGCGATGAGGATCTGCAGCACTTTCCAGTGCCAACGTTTCCCTGAAGAAGGCCATGTTGACGGATTGTTGGTTTGCCACTGGCTTAAGTCATCGCAGCTCTCCGTATTCCAGTGAAAAATTTGCGGGTAAGTGCGATCGGCAAATCGACGAAATGCGGAAGACACTTCAACGACTGTGATACCAATTGTAGAACAGAAAAGCATCAATCCTTTCCCACCATTTTGTGCCTCTACATGTTGGACAACATGTGCTGTAAAAGGTGGATAACCTCGTCCATGTAATGCTGTTTCACGTGCCCTATGTTTTCCTGACCTCTCCACCTACCGCCTTTCACTCTTAGAAGTATCGCGACTAATTTCTGACGAGAAAATTTTCCCAAACTAAGCCGAGGTAGAAACGGCCCTCAACGATTTCATGGTTTCGAGAACTGCATGGTTTCATGGTACTGGAATGCATCAACTAGTTTCTCGGTACCAAAAATGTGCAAATCCTAATGGCTCTTATTTCACTCAAAGTAATTTAGTCGAGTTGAGGTTTGTCAGTGTGAATATGCATAACATTGGAGTCATGGTCAACTTCCGAACAACTTGAAACAATATCTTGTGCCTGCAGATATACCAATTAACTGTTTTTTATTCTCGCGAACAAAACTGGCACCAATATGCGGAGCGTGGGAGCATGGCAGGCTTAATTGGCCAAGGAGCGAGACCGAACCAGCGAAACGTATGAACTACAAGGTACTCCTAACCACCACACTACGAATGAGCCATAGATAGGGATTCTAGAATTCCAATACAGTCCATTGCTTGTTCGAGATGCCTAATATCGCTCTTTTAAAAATGACTGCATAATATTTCGAGAAGAATTTCACAGATGTACTTTTGAGTAGATATTTATCTCTAATTTCGTTCCCGTATATCGTTTCACACATTTTTATTTAACAATTTACTATGTAGCTTATTGCTGACAATCAATTCATTTAATTTGCAATGGTTTCAGGCCGCCTGCGGTCATGCTGTCGAGTAATAAAAATTGCATGGTTATGCTTCGTTAGTTTACATTTCAACATGAGGCAATGGTAGCAACGTGAAATGGCATCTAGGAAATGGCTTCCAAACGCAAAGTGCGCGGATAGTTCATGGAAGTTAATCCTCCAGGTATGACTGTTCACTATGGCGAAGGTCATGGAATTCTCCCAGCAGCTAACGACAACCATCTGAGGCCGACAGTCCAGAAACAACTTGTGGGTTGTGGAAAAAAATTCACACCCGCTTTAAAAATTATTTTCCACAATACCTTCAAAAGGTGGAAAAGCTAATTTAACGGACTTCTCATAGAGTCAACAAATGATGGCGAAGCCAACACAAAGTGGTTTGATCTGGCCCGGGGTTCAAATTTTGCGAATATCTCACCATCGTTGCGGTTGTAATTCACATCATACCTTGTCGTGAAATATTACAGTAGGAAGAAAATCAAGGTTTAATATAAAGAATTCTTATGTAATGCTGAGATATTTGCAAAATACCGGACCGCAGGTGTATGCAGTGGGGAACGAACGCGCGCTGTTGTCGTTACCGAGGAGCAGCGCACTTCACCACCACACCATCCGGGTCCTTCGCTTTGCCTGTCTCTCGGCTAGTTCTATCGATCTTTTGCCATCAGCAATCACTCGTTAACGGGTTTGATCTGGGGGGCCGAAATCGACATTGAACGCAGTTAAAAACCAAAAAAAAAACCAGCAAAAAGATCGATAAAACTAGCTGAGGGACAGGCAAACTAAGGACCCGGATGGTGTGGTGGTGAAGTGCGCTGCTCCCTGGTAAGGACAACAGCGCATGTTCGCACCCCACCGTATACACCTGCGGCCTGGAGTTTTGGAAATATCTCAGCATTACATACGAGTTATATTTCGCAACATACCCTGCCATTAAGAACAAAAAGGCAGTAAGTAAAAGGGTTAAGGTGGTAAAGAATTCTGTTCCGCAATGCTTTTGTACAACAAAAGTTTCCAACAAATTGCAATGAAAGCAGTTCTTATGCTACAGGTGACGACGTTCACGAGGAAGTTTTATTGAGATGGGACTCCTAAGCGTTTCCTAAATGCGATTTTGCATGGAGAAATGGCAATAATAACATCTTCATTTTCATTTTCGGCGGATTCAATTGTTCAATGAACCAATAATTTTTGAAATGACCGTCATTTAATCTCGATAGTAATAATCAATACTTTCTTGGATTGTTGATCTAATAAGAGGTTGATAAAAAAATTTATTGGGCTAACGTTTCCAAGTCTTCGTCCTCATTGGTGCCGACGATCCGAGTCGATGGTCTACAGTTGTTTGTCTTCTCGAAGAGGACTCTTCGTTGGCGTAATGAGACGGATCTACTTCAGTGGAACACCGCTCGAATGGGGCCAGCTCACCCGGCAGCACTCTTTTATACGGAACCATTGTTTTTTCAAACCGAGCAACATGAGTTCAACATTCCAAGAAGATACCGAATATTACTACCGTAGTTAAATTACGGTTGGTTTTGAGATTATTGCTTTGATATTCGCTGTATGCTAGCTAACATAATACCACCTGTTGCAGGATGGATTACCCGTTGAAAAACAAGTTATTATCAACGGATAGTCTTACCAACAACAACCTTTCTGTGTAAGAGAACGCTGCCGGATGAGCTTCCCTCATTAGAGCGGTGCTCTACTGAAGATCTGACTCGATTTGACGACGAAGGCAGTACATCGAGAGTACGAACAGCTGTTGACCATTGACTCGGATCACTGTTTCTGATGGAGGCAAAGATCGGGAGCCGAATAAATTTTTTAATCAACCTCGCATTAGCTGTGCAATCCAAAAAGATATTCATTAAAACGCTTTAAACAACGACAAAACAATTGCATTCAAGTACGCTTACGAAGTTGAAGAAATATTATAAAACTACAGCAATCTATAGGTTCCGTTCTTTTTAGAGCGACAACAACTTTCTTTCCAAAACTACGGTATTCCATACTATCGGCATGAGTAGAAATGATAAAGAGGACAAAGCTCTCGGTGTTGATCAATCCCCGAGGATGCACGATGCATTCGACTTCATTGAGCATCGCTTGAAAGTGATTGAATGCATATCTGGCTTTTACTCGCGGTGGCCTACCGATCTATCGGGCCAGTGCTGCTATTCTACTAGACAAGTGTGGTACCAATCTGCAAACTCCGGAGGGATGGAAGGCTTGGTGAGGTGATCGATTCTACGTGTGTGTTGCAGGGCACCTCCAACCACTGCCCCACACGCGCAACAATGGTGTTAGTAAAGAAATAGTTTTGTACAGATTTTAACGACTGCTATTTTGAATGACAAGTATGCGTTTGGACCAATTTGCACGCTGTCAAATTTTCGGATCAAAATCCCCTATTCTTTTCGAAAAGTCCTCACAGAGTCATAAGCCAAAATCTTCTAAAGGTTCCGAGTATATCAAGCCCTTAATCAATCTTCAAAATCTTTAGCAGTAAATATTATGAACGCGATAGTGAATACTCTGCTGAGATAAACAACACAACGTGCAAACGGTGATCAAATCAGATTCATTGCTTTTCAGACTCTTCCATCTCGAACTCGGTTACGACGGCGAAGTGGTCCGACGGGTAGTCGTTTTCACGATGGTAGGGAATCGGCTTAATTGCCTCTGGTCCTGCATAGATAAACGAATCCACGGCAATCATATTGCCTAAATAAGTTAATACTATGGCAAAACGTTGTTGTCCGATGTTAGATGGCTTCACAGCTTTTGCTTAGCTTTTCCACACTTTTTTCGTTCCATAGAGTTACTATCTACACCATCTGTATCACCTGTAGTCCCGTTGATCGTCGAGTGACTCGAGCGGGCGCCAGTAAATCTTCCATTTTTCCCTATCGCGTGCAAGAGTAGCCCAGTGGGTTCTGCTCGCTCTACGAACTCGTTGAGCATCATATCTTTCTTCTACGCTTTTCGTGAAGAACTCTAACCATCGGGTCGTTGGTCAACATGCAGTCCGTTTAACATCGCGTGGGATCCAGTCACTAACGGCTTTTGTCCATCGGTTGTCATTCATGTGTATTACGTGTCCGGCCCACCTTATTTTCGACTGTTTGGAGTACAAAACGGCATCTTTGACTTTTGATCGTTGACGCAGGCCGGAGCATCGGATTCGTTTCCTCGCTTGCGCAACACGGGACTCACCTATCATCGTCCTTTCGACTGCGCGTTCAATGACGCTGAGTGACCTTTCATCCTGCTTACGCAGCGACCAGGTTTCTGACGCATAACATAGGGCAAGAAGTACTGTTAAGTCGAAAATGTGGGCACGGAGTAGAGTGTTCTTTGTTCTCTTAACTACATCCTCGATGCTCTTGAAAGCTCCCCATGCAGCTCGTTTCCTTCTGCTGAGCTCTGGAGCTAAGTCGTTCATCATATTGATTTCCCGACCTAAATAGATATACTAGATACTTGATACTTGAACAAAACGTCTTTACTGGTTGTGCAGGCTCCAGCATAATCTCCATTGTTTGGAGATTTGCTGGTTAAGCCGTTGTAGTTCCTTAGAATCCCGAGGTCAGCCTGGACAAAGTCTCCCCCAGGTCTTCACCACCACAGGCGGTCGCAGTCGTTGTGGATCAGAGGGAAATTTGCCAATATGCGAAATTAATAGATAAAATAGACTTAAATAAATAAAGCTGAAGCATTCGGAGATGTTCGTTCCGTTGAGCGCTAATGGGGCATGCTAAACCAATCCCTTCTTCATGAACATCGCTTTTGTGAGATTTAGTCGAAGGCCAGTCTTTCCAAAGGCTTTATCAAATTTCGTCAGCAAAGCGAAGATGATGTAACTGCCGACCATCGATTTTCACCCCCCATGCTATCCCATTCCAATGTTCGCATGACGCTCTGGAAGGTGGAGGTAAATTATTTTGGCGAGATGGTATCGCCTTGCCTAACTCCTCTTTTGACGTCAATGTTAATATGGTTGTAGAATTGTGATCACAAAGAGCCTTTGTGTACTAAGTAGGGTCTCCTTGGCTATCAAGGGCTTCCGAGACTGCTTGTATCTCAACTTAATCAAAGGACTTCTGTAAATCGATGAAAGAGAGACAGAGCAGTCTTTTGTACTCTCGCGATACTTTAATGAGCACTGTTATCGTGCAGATGTGGTCCATCGTATTAAATCCTCTTCGAAACCCTGCTTGCTCACATAGCTGTCCTTCGTCTAGTGTTCTTTCAATCCTGTTTAGGACAGCTCGAGTGAAAAGTTTGTAGACGACAGACAGTAAGCAGATTGGTAGATAGTTGCCGATGTCGTGCAGGTCACCCTTCTTGAACAATAACACGGTCTTGCTGGTCTTCCACTGAGTAGGGACCTTGCGTTCAGACAGGTAACGTGTGAAGAGCTAAGCCAGTGTGTTTACGAGGACTGGCGGAAGGTTCTTCAGGTGTTCTGTTCTTATCCTGTCCGGACCTAGTGCTGTTCGCTCGGAAGGGAGAACCGGTGGTACAACATATCCATCCTCCTTTACGTCATATGACGGAAGGTGACGTGGCTATCGAAGAGATCTGAGTAGTATTCGTGAGTGATTTTCTCCGTTGCCTTAATGGACGCTGTAACTGTTCCATCTGGGCGCCGGAGAGCAATCATTTTGATCTTGTAATTGGCTAAGCTTCGGTGGGCTTTGCGAATGCTTTTCCCAGCCTCTGCAGCTTCGACCATTGCTGCTGCTCTTCTTTCTTTAAGATCTTCTTTTATTGCCTGTCTGCATTGTTTCGCAAGTTTGGACGTTAGTTCGCGGCTGCTTGCAGCTCCTGCGAATCCACGCTGGCGTATCAGCTCGAGTGTCTCTGGAGACAAACGCCTCTTAGTGACTTTCGAACTCTCAGCTTTCATAACGCTAACGTGGAGATGTTGACTGAGCCGATCGCATGCTTCGTCGATATCGGCAGCGGCATCTTCCCAACAGCTGACTAATGAGTTGAATAAGTCTCAGTTTATAGTGGTTCCGTGACTTCGGTTTTGGAATTTAGCGAATTTTTCTCCTTTCCGCGAAAAATGGAATCTTGCACGAAGGAGACGATGGTCTGATTCCGTGTAGAATTCTGGGACAACAGCGACATCGGCTAGGCAAAACCTTTTGTTTACTATGATGTGGTCTATTTCGTTATGGTACTCTCCACTGGGAAACTCCCACGTCCAGCGCTGAAGGTGGGGCTTCTGAAATTGCGAGTTACCATGGATTGTCTTGGCCGTTATGATAAACTCAGACAGCCGCTAACCTTCCTCTTTCCTTTCTAATCCGTGGATCCCAATGTGACGTTCTTCAAACGTTCTTCTTGGCTCTTTTCCAACCTTGGCGTTCAGATCTCCAATGATGACCTTGAAGAATGTGTGGTCTTCTCTGTAAAACCTCTCCAAGTCCATATAGAACGCTTCGACTTCTTCTTCGTCATAGTTCGACGTCGGCGCACAAACAGGGAATATTGTGAAAGCCGGAATTGATCCACGTCTTTTTAATCGTAAACGCCCGATTTGGGTTGTAAGCTGTTTGATTGAATCGATTTTCATGGACAAACCTGTGTTGACGAGAACGCCGACGCCGCCGACTCCTCTACTGTCGCATGTTCCGAGAAACAGTTCTTCTCCGGTATCATAGACGGCGTTGAAAGGCTGGCGTCTCATCGTATCAACCTGGCCGATGACGTCGTACCTAATCCTTCTTGCATGCATGGGCAAGTCTTCTATCGAGGACTCGCATGCAAATGCACGTGCATTGTAGGTACCGATCATCACCATAGTTCTTTGAAATCCAGGCAGCTTCCATTGGCCCTGAGATTTTAGCAGCCTCTCCGTACTCGTCCTATCCAACGCTGCGAAATTGGAGGTTCTTTCGGGGCCAGAGGAATGAGACCCGCTTGTTTTACTGTGTTTAACATTTTTGATACCCACGTATAGCTTGCTGGCTCCGAACGTGGGTGCTGTGTATACTCATGGGTAGCTTGCCAGTCTCCCAGAGTAGACATGGAGCTTACTTGTTGGAGGCGACTCCTAACCACCTCCCATATACTTCCCAGTCACCTGATTGCAGGCTTTTGGCCGAATTGACTCGTAGAATACAATCCGCATAAGCAAGGGCGCACCCACACACGCATGCATGAATACGCCTAGCAAATACAGAAAGTATGTACCAAATCAGCGCAGCAGATAAGGGAGTCCATCAACTCGATCCACCTGCGTCTCAGGGAAGGAAATGTCGCTTTTGGTCTGCGATTAACCCCTTATCCGCCATGTGGGGACGCGTCACGTAGCCTCGTGACTATTCGACTCGAAATCCCATGAGGGATCATATGAGGGAGACCACCGCGATAAACTAGAAAGAATAAAAAAGATATGCAAAATTATGCACCTTTGTAAAAGATGAAGTCGATGCGGTCTTGAGGCTCTGGGATTTTAAAATCCCATTCCGGTAGAAATTTGTACACAGTTGACCAAGTGTATCCTGAACAAGACCATTTTTTCAATTTCTTAGTGAGTCTCCTTTAAGTCAACACTTAAACACAAAGATACTGAGAAATTTGGAAAACTGGGACCCCAGACCAGCTTTTGAGAGAAAAGCAGAGCAAGGACCTTGGCGCTGTAGTGGTATCACTTGAGTTCACGAAAGTGATAACTGCGAGTTCGACGCTGGTCCTGAGTTCGAGTTTTGCAAATATCTAAACATCATTGTGATTGTGTCTCGCATAATACCCTGCCGTCAAAAAAGTATAAAACAAATAAAAAGTTAAACATTGTGAATTCAACTCTTAAACTTAGTATATACGAAGCTTGTTTCTGCTGAATACGTTTATTATGTGAATAATGATAGATTTCCTATTTATCAACATAACTTTGGAGAAACAGAAGGGTCATGTGTATTAGTATATTTTCACATCCTTAGAAGCATTATTTTCGAACTATATACCAAGAAGACTATTTAATGAGGGAGTGAAATATTTCTAGGGCTAAATTCATGTTTAGCTGAATGTAGTACTACGGATGGTAGAGTTATGTATTTTAACACACAAATGTTCCTGAATCGTTTGCATAACGCGCGTTCTAACAGTGGATAGGTGTTGTCCTGCGACGTCAAGACTCTTTATTCAAACTTGTCGAATGACTACACTATCCAAGCCATCACCGAACTCCTTATGCTGTACCGAGAAGCAGTAAACAGGTATGTGTTATCGACTCAGTAGCTCATGGCTCTCTTAAACGAACGTCGAAACTGCTCAACCTTTAGGTGGCCTGGGATGTATTTCGCACAAGTGAGAGGGCCGGAAATGGAACAACGACTGACACCAAGCCTTGCCATTTTCTTTGCCTATGGTGAAAGCTTGACTTATCGATCTTTCGCCATTACTCTACTGTGAATATATAGATGCTTGTTGTTTCATTTCTTCCACACAAAAGGAAATAGACAATTGAGTTGAGTTATTGAATAAACAGTCAGAGTACATTAAGTTTACCTGAGAGAAATCGAAAAAAAATAGCTGGCTGCATTTCTGAACATCCTGGTCAACCTATCGGAGAACGGCTACATCACGACGTTGTGCCAAAATTCAAGTGGTAAAACATGCCGGTTCATCACCTCTCCTTTCACCCCTCAAATACAAAAAGGGTGGTTTGCACCCGACACGTTTTGAACTGCCACGAGTGTGTTCAAAAAAAAAGGAAGAATCTTTGAAATTCACACGGCATGTAGCCATTTCCACTCTCTGTGAAAATGTAACTCCTCGGATGGTTGTAGAAAAAATCCAAGACCCCCAAACGGCAATTCTTGCGAGAATAAGGTACCGTTTGCCCTTTCCTTTGTTTCCAGGTAAATAAATGCAGCTATTTAATGTTGCTTAAAATGGCTAGAATTCGCTAATAGTGGTTGAAGTACCACCGAACATTGTCAGACGTCTGCTACCTGGCTTATATAACGGTGTATGCACAGCACAAAACACCATCATATGTTCTAGCGATAGAGACTCTGATTACGCGAGTTCGGATACGGGTTAACTGATCTCATGTAAAGGGTGCAGGACGAATATATCGGTGAAATAGACAGCTCAGTGTGCTTGTTAAACAGCACCTAGTTGGAAATTTTAAAGTCAAATAAAACACTCCACTAGGCACACCTAGTACACAAAGCCATAACGGAAAAGACTTTCAAGCAGAAGCCACCACCCTCACGCAAAAATCTAAAACATCGAAGTGCAAATCACTCGAAGTATTCACTACATAAGTTCTAGGAATCCAAAAGTGAACAGCAGGGAGGAATGCTTTCTTGTCACACGTGATCACACGTAATATCTTAGACTGGTATTTTAACCAGAGTGGTGTGCATTTCCCACACATGTGAACTTATAACAAACTGTGTCTGTGAAGAAGAAATGTAATATCCAGTGCGAATGAAGCCTAGGTTTGGTGGTTTATCTGTTGATGTTATTGAGGTCTTTGGATAACTCCATTGTAGACAATTTTTTTTCCTCAGGCGAAGAGTAAATGTGCTGAGTTGTCAACTAATATAAATAGTGTTAACACAAATGTTAGCGCTTGTGGCGTACTGGTTGGAGGCGCCACTGCGACAGTCACATGGAATCGATTCCCGCGCCCATGGCCCATCAAACCTTGCATCTCTTCGGCGGGTTCGGCAAATTGGTACCAGACTTGTCTGGAAGGATAGCAGCACTGGCTCGATACATCGGTAGGCCACCGCGAGTCATTGTAAAGGCCAGATATGCATTCAATCTCCTCCATCGATGCTTGATGAAGTCGAATGCATGGCGCATCCCTCAAGGATTGATCAACGCCGAGAGCTTTATCCTTCTAGCTTTAACACAAATATTAATGCTAGCTTTTTATAGCAGAGTGTTATGTGTTATGCAATCATTATAATGCTGAGATAACCATGATGATGCTGAGATATTTGCGAAACTCCATACCGCAGGTGCCTACGGCGAGGAACGAACGCGCTATTACCATTTTCGGGGCCTAACGCATTCATCATCGCACCATGCGGGTTCTTCGTTTCTCCTGTCTCTCAGCTAGTGCTATCGATCTTTTGCCATCAGCAATCACCAGTCAACGGGATTGATCTTGGGAGCCCAAATCGGTATTGAACCCAGTTAAGCTGACACAGTAGTTGGAATCGCAATCCTAACATTTTTATTTGTTGCCTACTATAATTTTTCACGGCAGAGTGTAATGCAAAATACAGCCACAATGATGCTGAGACACTTGCAAAACTCCGGAGAGCAGGTGTCTGCGGTGGGGAGCGAACGCGCTACTGCCCTTTCCGGGGCCTAAAGCGTTCACCATCAAACCGTGCGGCATTCACCACCATTATACCCTGCCGTGAATAATTATAGTAGGCAGCAAATAAAAAAGACAGCGATGCTAAAATATTTAAGAACTTGCCATGAAAAATTGTCATAGGCCGCATATGAAAAAGTCAACATTGTGATTTTGACTACAGCCTCAGCACAGCTTCATTGCCGATTTGGGCTATCCAGATCAATTCCGTTGACGAGTGATTGCTGATAGCACAGCTAGACAGAGAACTATCTGAGAGAAAGGCGAAATGAAAGACACGCATGGTGTGGTGATAAACGCGTTAAACCTCGGAAAGGGTAAGTAATAGCACGTTTGTTCGCCACCGCAGACACCTGCAGTCCGGCGTTTTGCAAACATCTCAGCACCATTTTGGTTGCGCCATGCATTAATATTAGTATTAATTAATAGCATTATAACAACATTATTTGTTTTTATCACATAAACAGCGAATTGCAGTTATGCACATCTGTGCGGAAAAGTTAAGTGAAGAATGAGGTAGTTCCAGAGTAGGGCAAGAGAAATCGACCGGTATGGGAATCTTCAAGTGCATAGAGAGTCCAGTGGACAGGATGTTAGCACTCGACTCGGTGCGTACCTTTAAAACTCCACGACTCTTTCTGACCTAGTGTATGTGTCGAAAACCTGCCTGTTACGTAAGCAGGATGGAAGATCATTGAGTGTTGTGCAACACGCAGTTGAGACGTCGAAGCTGGGAGTATCCCGCATCGCGCCTACGAGTGAGGAAATTTGAACTCCGGACTTACTCGTACGACCAACGATCATTTAGGCCGCAGTGCGCACAAAACTGTCGAAAAATATGTGAACAAAAGAAATGACGCGCTTAATGATCCTGTTAATAACAGCCGTTAAGAATTGAGTCATCGTTGTTTAAGCTCCAGCAGTAATCACAGAGCTTTTGAAACTGTTAAAGACGAATTCGAAATCTAATGACATTAAATTACACGAGTTGCTCGAAGTGTAAAAATATATTATGTAATAAAAGAAGCATGGATCATGTGATTCAATGCGAACCGGGAACTTCGGAGACGTTTGGATGAACAACTCGAAATGAGTCTATGAAGCCCATCGCCTCGACAATTTTCGTCACTGGCCATTGCACTACCCAATTTCCATGTCTTCCTCTATAAAAAATCGTTTTAAAAGCTTGGAGCTAATAAAAGGTTTCCCTCGACTTTACGGGTTTTTAGACTATAGAATGTAACTGAAATCGACTTTATAACTGAAATACAAGATATTAGAGTGATGGTCGTCCATGCATTTCTGGACCCTCGGTGCTTATTTACATCACTCATACCTTCCCGGCAACTTTTAAACTATATGATTTTACTATCTTATCAGCACTCATTCCGCCACTCCTTCCTTCGCATGCTAGTGAGTTTGGTAAAGCAAAACCACTACAATTTCTTAATGAGCCTCAGAAATTGTCTTCTTTAACTTCAATTAGTAATTTCTAAAAAATTTTGTGTTGTCGATAACCTTCTCTACGATCGTTTCTGAAACTTCTTACATTGTCTCCTCAGTCCAATCAAGATGGGAAGGTGTGTTGAAGTCTCCGGCAAGAATTAGTGGTACATTGTCACTTTTGTTCAGCCAATGCTTCATTTGTGGATCGTCAAAAATTTCCATAATGTTCTGCACCCGACCTTGAAAGAAATCCAAATACCACCTTATCACGAGTATACACGAGCGTTTGAATTTTCCTGGATTCATCTACTGCTCTAACTGGAGGGATCACATTGGTCAAATAGGTCAAATTAGATCGTAGTTTTCACCTTGTATCTATGAAGCGATATCTTTCCTATCGTTACCGAAGTGACTAGAAAAAAAGACTGAGAATCAGAATAAAAGGATGCGCTACAAACAGTGTCAAAACCAATGGAACCGCTTGTTGGAATTTCTGTTTAACTTTGGGGGAGGGGGGTATAGGCAAGAAAGCCTAGAAAGAAAGAAATCGAAACAAAGTATTAGGAAAAGTTGCCTAAATCTGATTACCAAGAAGTTAGCTTGGCGCATTCATTTCTTGTCAGGTTTTATTTTGATGTTCAGAGGTAATCATGCTAATAACAAAAATGATAACCAAATGCTGGCGGTCTCTGCAGTGCTAATCTGCCTTTTTCAAAAAACGATTATAGTTTCACATAAAGCAATGAACATTCTTTCTACTTCTGTTTAGCAAACAAAAGGTGTTATTTTATTTCTTTATTTACGTACAAGCTATAAAAGAATAAAATAACACCTTATATTTGCTAAACAGAAGTAGAAAGAATTATTCAATCAATGCCGAGGTTAATAGAAAGTCGGACGTGGGAGTTACTGCAATGAACATTGTCCAGAAAGGTGTTCTCCAAAACGGGAATTACAGAAACACTTTGGCTAATCCTACCGCCTTTGGGTCTCACCAGCTCTGTTATTCAGTTTTTCTCCAGCAAGAATCTGGTCCACTGAGGCGACCATCTTGTTGTTGGCCGCATGCGGCCCATAAGCTTTGTGGTCGAGATGAACGTTCCACATGCTCACCGCGTCTCCAAAACCGAGATCGATCCTCCCTCCGATCGCATGACTAGTTTTCGTAACAGTACTCCTCATTACCTGAACATCTCACGATGTTACAACGCAATTTCTTATCACTGCGCTTTCCTTAAGGTTCAAAAGCGAACGCGTACCCGTAGTCACATTTACTTTAAAGAACGTAAAAAATAGGGATTAATTTTTTATACTATTTTATTAACCCGTTGACTGGTCTTACCGTATGCTTAGTGAGAATGGCTACGTCTAATCTGGATTCCTCGTCGGTGAGCACTGTCCACGGATGTCCCAACAAGGAAAGAAGAGCCGGTGCTGAGTCTCCAAGTTTTGCTTCCTGAGATGGACAACTTTATTATAATACAGAAAACAATTATGCGCTATTAAATAAAAAATCGGCAGTATTTTGGATATGTGCAATTCTTTTCAGTTGCGCGGATTTTCATCAGCTTCATTGTAACATCAGACTTTTCTTTCTCCTTAGATCCCTACATTATAAGAACGATTTTCAGCCAAAATCCATGTTTAAGCTCGGTATCGTGGTGCTCTCATAACGAAAAAATAATTCAAACATGTTATTTCAATTCCTCAGATAATTCTTTTTCTTCACGAACTCTAAAAACAGCCTACAGTCACTCATTTTGAAAACGGAGACTTCCAACATACTTTACCAGTTGACTAACAAGCCTTGCAAAATATGCTTGCTGACTACAGCAGTCACTTGATACTTGATAGTTAAAAACGTCTCGTCCTCACTAGTTGTGCGGGTCCCAGCCTAATCACCATTTTTCGGGGATTTGCTGGTTAAGCCATTGTGGTTCCCTGAAATGCCGAGGACAACTTGGCCAAAGTCTACCCCAGGTCCTCACAGCTACAGGCAGTCGCAGCCCTTGTGGATCAGAAGGAGACTTGCCAACATGCGGCTTCGATACACCAGGACGGTGGTAGATCTTGGTATTGGTTTACTCTTAGTCAGGCTTCCTGATGGAAACGCCGGACTCCTTCCTAGCTTAGGAAACCCTGTCGTAGGAACGAATCTCCCCGCTGTACATCGCACTCCGACACCCAGGAACACCTCTGAGACACAATGAGGCAGGAAACCGTTGGGAGGCAGCAGTTACTTTACAGCAAACAAACAGCGTCCTCACTGAACTCTTGTTATTCCGGCCTGCAAGTGTATACAACAAAGCCACACAATATTGCCAATACATCCATTCGACTGGGATGATGAAGGGATACGCGTTGACAAGCGATTACTCGTCAAAATACGTTTTGCTTACGACATAATGAGCTTCTTGAAGTGAGAAGAACTTGCTATACGGATTAGTAAGGAAAAACTTAATTTATTATGAACGACTTTATTAATGGGGAACAGGTTATCATGGATTGATCATAAATTCGTATATCTGACACGTTCAATGGACATGGATAACAACTTGAGGGGAGAATTTTATAGAAGACAATGAACCCCATAGGCACGCTGTGACATTTGACGAAGGCTAGTCACTTATCGGCTTATGGATTTGAGCTACGTGCTCACTAACTGGGCGCTACAGATCTTCCATAACTGTGCATTACAACACACATATAACTTAAAATAGCTGCTTATGACCAAGAGAAAGCTACGGTGGCCAGTGAAAGATTCAAAATGAGGGCGAGGAAAAGAACTGGAAAGTGGACTTATGTGTTCATTGGACTAACAAACCAGCGACGGCTGGAACCATCTTGCAGATCCGAAATCAACCACGGGAATCGCACACGAATACGATCACCTCCATAAATGATGGTGAAGAAAAAGCAAAATGAATGAAAGAAGTGCGAAGCCCGGCAAGACATGTGGACACGGCAATCTACTTGTCTAAGTAAATAATATCCTAATTCAAATCACTCATCACATAGACGTGCAGTAACTCGAACGGTTACGGTCCATGTCTCGCGAAAAATTCCACTTCATCGCCAATGCCGTGGAAACATCACTGAAAAGGCTGTCAATGAAATGAATAGATCCACACGTAAGACGTGCAAGAAGATACAAAGCGAGGATAATTTCGATATGTGTCAAAGAAGAGTACAACACCTGTCACCTCTTGAAAGGCATCCGTTTGCTCCACTTTTTTTTCTCGAATATCTTTCCGAAATTAGACCAAAAATTTGTGTCTTCATGAGCCATGTGCCTCTTTCATCAGCATAAATGCTAACTTTCTTTAGGCAAAGAACAAATACTAAGAATTGGTCTCTCATTACCAGGTACAAATTCTTTTCCGTCTTACCTGTTATCATATCAACTCAAAGGTTTACGTCGCAAAGGTTTACCACCTCATCGTGGCTGGGAGGTGTTCCTAGGTGTCGGACTGCGATGTACAATGCGAATTTATCCCTAACAGGATCTCCCAAGCCCAGAAAGAGTATGATGTTTCTACCACAAAGTCCAGCTAAGGGTAAACCAATAAGTAGAATGACCATCGTTCTCGTACCAATCTAGTCGCGAGGTGGCAAATTTCCTTCCGATTCTCAAATATCGGCGACTACCACGGATGGTGATGACTAAACGAAGGCTTCGGCTAGGCTAACCTAGAAGTTCTAGAAAATTGCATTAACTAAACCAGCATATTTCTAGCCTCAGTACCCCGTATATTGTGGCTTCCGTCTACGAAGTCAGGCGATGAGATAACTAGTGGGGCGCGATTGAATCTCGAAACACGCAAGATTTCACTGCAATCGGAGAAAACGAGAATGCCCACGACACGTCATGCTTCGTGATCTCCACTTGCAACACCAGAACAGTTTTTTAGACGTCGACTTTTACGCTTTTTTAAAGCCGCCGATCGTAACAAATCCTATCTGATTGCCCTTCAAGGGACGAAAAGCAGGAAGATCGACACGCGGTAATTACATAATAGAACCCTTATCACTCATGAAGGGAAACTTCCGCTACGAAATATCAGAAGCATTGGCTTTCTCGTATACCAATCCGGTTTTTATCAGGCCGCTTCATACGACAACCTATCATCGCATCTAGTTATTTTTCATCTCCAACTTGCGCGTCAGTGGAAACTCGCTGTCACAAACTGTTACTCAGCACCCTTTACAGGTGATGAGAGCGAACTGGTCACGTTCTACAACCAGTTGTAGAAAGTAATCCGCGAAGAAACTGCTTCTACAAACTTGTTAGAGAGTTCAGCGTCGCATTGGGAACGAGCAACGAAGGTGAATACAGGATAATAGATACACGAAATGAGAATGGAAACCGTTTCATAGGACCTCTGATCGCAGCACGTCTCTTCCATGGTGATTAATTTTTCGAGGAGAGAGCAAGTCTTCGATGAACATGGGTCTTAGAAAGGCATCATGCGAAAATCGATCATTTTTTCACGGACAGAAAATGGTTTCTTTTTGACACCTCAGTGGTGCCCAGATTCTGTATAAGGTCAGATCACCGATTCTTCCGTGAGGAGATTCGATGGCATTAAACTGAGAAAACTTCTGTCGGCGTCCAAGAAAAACAAAATAAGTCGTGTGTAACAAGAATACTCTCCGCTTCAAATCGAACAAAAAGTAACAAGAAAACAAAACCCTTTCCTATATGGTTGGTAGATAAGAAAAGACAGACCGAGAATTAAAAGCTGCTTGTCGCAATACTTCAAACTTGTACCGGACTATCGCATCAACATTACCACTAAGTAGTTGCTCGGAAGGGTAAAGAAACAGAAGCTTGGTCCTATTATAACGAACCAGTAGATAATGAATATAAGTAGTAAAAATCCATTGCAAAGGATTTACGCAAGTAAAGAAAAAAAAATTATTGGAAACAGCTCAAAAACGACCTAATCCGAAGAAGTGCCGCTGAGATCTTTGCGGCTATAATGGTCAGCTGTTCACTCTGATGAATGAAGATGCGGCTAACACTATATTCCGCCATGATTTGGGATTAATAGGGTAAATATTCTATGTTTATCTTCTTCGCTCCATAATTCCATCTCGACAGTTTTCCTGCTGGAAAAAAACAGCCAAAAAAATTTTTTCCTTGAAGTTCAATTTGTAATGGAAAGCATGAAACATCTCCAAGACCTAATAATATCAACGCCAATTTTCTAAGATCTGGAGGCCACAAATTACACATATTTCTTTCAACCTACAAAACATCTTGCCTTCAGGAAGAGGAAGTCAGGGGTCCGCCGAAGATATCGCGCGCGGTCCTACTACCCAAGAAGGGTAACCGAAAGAGATCATCACAACTACCGTCTAATATACTTGCTCAGTGAACATTCTGCACCCGTTCTCATAGATTATTCTTTTGCGCATATCAAAGACCTTGAACGATGCACAACAAGCTGAGCAAGGAGAATTTCAACAGAAATTTTGCTGCATGGAACACATCCAAACTTTGTGACAGGTCATAGAAGTCCATCACGATCAACGTCTGCTTTACTGCGAGAAAGCGCTTGACAGGGTCGAAACGAAAGCAATAAAACACTCGTCGTCCAAGCAGTGGACTCATCCTAGACGCAAACACCAGAAGAGTGTTACTGGAAGGTCAGCACGTACACGTAGCTTTTTCATTGATCCCACACCACACCCATGGAAAAGTGGTTCGACAATGCAAAACTATATCCCACAGGTGTTTGCAGTTGAAAATCAAGTCAATCGATTGGGAAGAGAAGGGTAAATGTTTTAGTTGAAAGATCCCATGAAATTTTCGACCTGAAGATAATGTCTTCATCTCTTCGAAAACCACAAAAGAACAAGTGACTATACTTAACTAATTCGGCGAAGCGGGAAAAAAGACTGGATTAGGCATAAATTGGACGAAAACACAATTTATGAAGACTCCCTGGTGCGACGAAGAACAAATCGAATTGGATGGTTCACTGATAACAGGGACCACTTCGTAGATGTACCTTGTACGTTCAATGAACATCGAATAATATAAAGTAGGTTATACCGAAGAAGGAGAGTAATGCGAGCAGCATTTGGGCGTCCTAAAGAAGCCATCGACCAAATAAAGGACCTAGAAATCAGCGTTCACCATTTTAATTCAACAGACCTTCCACCACTCTGTTGAACCAGAAACGTGGACTGATGCTTCAACCGCCTTAAGAAATCTGCGGATCGTCCACAAAGTGCTTGAACGATATGTTCTGAAATTTAACCGCCACTCACTAGTAGAAAGTCTAGTAGAAATGCGTAGCTTAAACTTCGAAACCTACATCATATTTGAGATCAAGGATAATACACATCGATAGCAAATGACGGTTGGGTTAGTTACATAATACGAAGAACATATGACAGATGGACTCATTGCGGTGAACTTCAAGAGAAGCCCTTTTAGAAAACTACTCAAACGAAGACGTGTTCATGGTCAATTTCAACCATCTGCATTGAGAGATTGGAACTATTGCAAACCCACGGAATAGTCTTCGCGATCATCACTGAACCCGAAGTAGATTAGCACCATGGGTGACGCTAGCGCAAGGCTAGAGGGAATGGAAGTTTTGCAGGAAGCCGCGCCACCAATGAAGACAGATCATCCAAGTATCCAAGTAAGTATCAAGTCGAACTTTCTTCATGTGAGACGCTCTGTTAAGGTTCAGAGAATTAATGAGATTCATAGAGTAAAGGTCTCTTTGTGAAAAGATTACCTTAAAATTAACTTTAACGATAGCGAGAGTTTGATTGTCTGGTCAAGTTTTTATTTTTATTGATTTGGTTAAGAGAGCGGTAGCTGTGCAGAAAATTTAAATGTGCTGAACGTGAAGTAGTTCTGAATACCGATCGCGCAGGAGGAGGAACCCTTCTGTTATATAGCGCGGCACTAACTGAAACAAAGGATTATAAATAAGCAAACAAAATAAGGACAAGGAGAGGCGACTTTTGTTTTTATAACAGTGAGCAAACATGATTTTCTACGTTTCAAAAAGACCTACCTGGAGAGCTACTATGTCGGGGTCAACAAAGGCAATATGCTTTGCAACCTTCTGAAGACCATTACTGACACGCATTCCAGTTTGCCATATATTGAATGTCATCACGCGAAGCCTTCTTGACGCGCAGTCTCCAAGCAGTGTGAGGATTGGGACGAAGAGCAGAGCGGCCCGCATTACCTCCAACCAATACCCGTTATGGCATCAACACATTCGAACGTACCAAGAAATAATCTGTAGCTTACAATAAACTCTAATGCTTCTCAAAAGGTTTCTTCGCCAAAGTGTGCGAATCAGCTAAATTTTTTCAATATACGTCCTCTCAAACTAATGCAAAAATGTTCTTACTTTCTTAGGGTTTCTGCATGATTTCCCCACGTATTGCGGTTCCTAGCACTTTTTGCAATCATTTCATCTTCTCGCATCTATGACCCAACAAGTTTTCCAAATTTTGAATTTTGTCACAGCAGGCAATTGGGAATTTTTGGCCTTTCTAATGTCTATTGAATACTAGAATTACGAAACCGTGCAACAAAACCTTAGTGTAAGGGGCCGAATGGAGCAGCTGCAGTGATAATGTGCATTGTGGAGGCGCCCAAGCCAGGTAAGCCCTTGTACGACACGCTCCGTCCTCACCAAACCACTCATCCTCCAGTGCCCACTCACGCTCTTTAATCAAAGTGGGAAAGACCTAACATGGTCATCTACAAAGTCGATGGTGAATCAACTGAAAATGATTGAAATTCCTTAAGCAGCGGCCGAAACCACAAGCAAAAGTGGGCACCAGTAAACTTTTTATTTTTATTATCACGTTCAAGAGCAGCTCAGCGGGTTCTGCTTACTCTAGAACTCGTTGACTATCACATTTTTCCTAGGGTTTTCTTGAAGTACTCTGACGATCGAGTCAATGGTCCGCTTGTTGTGCATTTGACATTACCAGAAATCCAGTTGCTAACGACTCTTGTCCATCCGTTGTCGTTCATGCCCATTAATGTTCAGCTGATCTTACTTTCGACATTTTGGCGCGCAGAACGGCGTCTTTGACCACTCACTGACCGTAGATGTGCACCGGAGTTTTCGATTCGCTTTCTCACTTGTGTGCTAAGCTGTACTCCTAGCATCTTTTTTTACTACTGAACGTTCCATAAAGCTGAGTGGTCAACCATCCTGCCCAAACAGCAACCACGTTTCTAACGCATACCTTAAAGTAGTGAAGATCGTGGAGTCGAAAATGTGGGGCGAAATCGGGTGTTCTTCATTCTCATTACTACATCCTCGATGCTCTTGAGAGTTCCGCAATCCGCCATTTTTTTCCTGCCCAAGTCTGAATCCAAATCGTCTATCACATTGACGTTCCGAACTAGATAGAAGTAGTTAAAGCATTCGGAAACATTCATTTCGTCAAGCGTGAACGAGGTGTACGAAAGCTGTCCTTTCGTCATGAACATCGTGAGAGTTACTCGAAGACCAATCTTTCCAAAGGGTTTATCAAAGTCGGCAAGCATTCCTTTCGCTTGGCTAATGCTTGTTGTTATAAGAATGATATTATCAGCAAAGCGAAGATGCTGTAATTTCCGGTCATCGATTTTCACTTCCGTGTGGTCCCATTCTAATGTTGTCATTTTGTGAGAGTTTGCGAAAGCTTCTTCAGATGTTTAGATCATATCCTGCTCAAGCCTGGTGCAGTTCGATTCTTCGCCCACGAAACAGCATGTCGGATTTCGAACGGGGAAACGGTGGGACAACGCATCCATTCTTCTTTATTTCATATGGGCAAAGAAATGTGGTCACTGAAGGGATCCGAGTAGGAGAAGTGAATGATTTTCTCCACTGAGTTTCCTGAAGCTGTAACTGTTTCGTCTGGATCTCGGAGTGTTGTCACTTTGATCATGCAATTGGCAAAGTTTAGGTAGGCTTTACTAGTGCTTTTCCAAATCCTTGCAGTTTTGACCATAACTCTACCCTTCTTTCTTCAAGGTCTCTTTTTATCGCTGCATTCTTTTGCAAGTTCGGATGTGAGCTCGTGATTACCTGTAGCTCGTACGATTATACGTAAGCGGATCAGCTCGAGTGTTTATGAAAACAGATGTCCTTTGGCTTCGATGAGGTTTTAACTTTCAATTTCATAGCGCTAAAATGGGAACGTTTAAATCAGCCACTCGTATTCCTCGTCAGTGTTGTCGAGAACAACATCTTGCCAACATCCGTCTAACGATCAAAGTAAACTCAATTTTATTGTGGCTTTGAAACCTCGTTTTTCAGACTTACAGGCTTCTCATCAGTTGTAATCGTTAGGCAAAACCTCCTATTTGTACGGCATACTGTACATTGTCATGGTGCTCTCGACTGTGAATGCCCTACTTCCATCGTTGAGAGTGGGTTCTCTGGGTTTGCTGTTTCCATAAATGATTTTTGTCGTTGTGATCAGTTCTGACAACCGTTAAGCCTTTCACTCCGTTTTGATTCCTGCGTTTTAATGTGGCGTTTTTCAGACCTACTTTTGGGTCCAAAATGATTGACGCTTTTTTGCAAAGTCAGAAAAGTTCTTTCCGCAGCAGTTGACACGTAGTTTCCATAGGATCCAATACCTTTGTCAAGCCGAAATCATTTGCTACTTAAAATTTTAGAAAAACTATAGAGTTTGAATAACCGTTAGGATAAGCGCCACGAAAGCTGCTATTTAAAAATTATTTGTTTTACATAATTTTTCTCTGACTCACTGCTCAGTCGCTGTGCTACTCAGCGAGGTATCAGATGGAGAACATTGTGAAATGTTGTGCAGAAGTGATTACGAGCTTTTCGCCAGAAAATCTGGATTCTGCAGCTTTTTTGACAGTCGAAACGCCTTATTTCAAGCTCATTTCAGTAGGCGTATTTGTTTATGGGCGCTTCTAAGGCCGAGAATTTCATCTTGCAAAAATTTTTAACTATCGTCGCTTCCTGCAAAGGTCTGTAATCGATGAACCACAATTTATAGGTAAGGTCGTTTAAAGGAACTATCAACAAATAGATTTCACAAATATAGGAGCAGTGATCCAAGATCCGTTTAATAATGAAACGATCAGAGGTACCCTGCAATACAAACATGACCGTCGGTGTGGTGTAGCTTCGCTGGGCAAACAAACCCTCCATGATTTGCTAGCAGCCTTTTTAGTGAAGATAAAAACATTAGTTTGATATACCAGTAAACCCTTTCAAGCAATCTATAGTCAAACATGCATTCAATCACCTCTACGATGCTCTATGAAGTCGAACGCATAACGCATCCATCTAGAAGTGATTTACCTCAAACCAATTGATCTCAGCTTTAGGTCTCGGTTCATTAGGAGGTGACTGCCTTATTTTAATTTCTGAGAGAAGATGAGGGTCAAATTCTGTAAATTGCCAAAAAAATGATTTATGAAATATTTCACTTTTGGTAAAACATGGTGACATTTTTTCTGGCTATGGTTTACTTTTGAAGAGCGAGATAATGGACTTCTCTGTCTATACCTTATAACCGACTTTCACTAAACCTCTGTAACAATAATCAATAATTTTCTCCGTGGATGCTTAAATTTTTGAGCATTGTTTAACTGATTTTTATCTCAATGGTTCACTGCCTCATCGTGGCTGGGAGGTGTTCCTGGGTGTCGGGGTACGATGTACAGAGGGATTCATCCCTCAGTAGGGTTTCCCAGGCTGAGAAGGACTTCGGCATTTCTATCAGAAAGTCCATCTAAGAACAAACCAATACCAGGATCCACCACCGTCTTCGTATGAAACTAGTAGCATGGTGACAAATCTCGCTCTGATCCACAAAAGCGGGCGACTGCCTATGGTGGTGAAAAGCTCTGGTAGGCTTTCGCCAGGCCAACCTCTGGAACCACAATGGCTAAACCAGAAAAACTCCGAAAGAATGGAAATTATGCTGGAGCTGCACAACCAGTGGAGACGGGCCATCCAAGTAAGTAAATGTTTAACTAATCTCAGGTCTTTATTTGGTTTTCCATACAAATAGTTGGGCAGAAAGCATGGTCAACTGCAAACATGTATTTATTAGAATTCAAAAAAAAATCGTAAAGTCAAGGAAAACCAAAGGGTCAAAGACTGGAAAACAAACCAATCAACATGAGAAATGTCAGTGAGTAGGTACAACAAATGGTTCGTACATCGTTCCTCATATTTACCAGTCAGCACTAAATCGTAGTCAATGATTCTAGTCACTCAGTGAATGATCCTTAGAAAAGGCGAATCTCGGCTATAAGCTCTACTCTGAGTGACTTTCAGTGTCGACTTTATTTGAGCAAATATTCAATTCACAATGAATGTAGTGATCGACGATTCCATTAAGTCAAAAGGTCGACTTTCTATAATCCTCGGCGTAATATTCGATATATCTGTACATATGTTTTTACGAATTGCCCTTTTTTCACCTGACACAAAGTTGGTATAGATGTTCTTATTGTTGTTGCTGCCTTTGTTCAACAATAGCTGACGTTTCGGGGGTTTCGCTTTCCTCAGAGCCCGGACTTACCATAACAGTAGCCCACAATTGGTTGGATTATACAGTATTAATGATGATCCAACTATGAAAAGATGCCAGTTTTTAAAAACCACCCACCCCCGTTGGATCTCCGTGTGTTGTTCACGAAGAATGATGAGTGAGGCCCACCCATGGGAATGAGCATTAAAAAATCATTTCGACACAGGGTGACATACCACTTGTGAAACTGATGCATTCGTTTTTCCTGTTCATTTTTGGACTTTCACTAAGTCCTGGTTAAAATCGTCATTATTCTACTGTAAGACAAACAGCATGTAGTTCAGGGGCTAGTGGTGCTCCGTAATACACGCTTGGTATCTTGTTCAACCGACCAAGCCCAGCCGAGCTCCATGGAGTTCTCTAAATAGTAGCAGTTTTGTCTGCGAAAGACTTCCTCCTATCTATACACCACGTCAGTTGCCTACTATAGAGACCTGCGACAGTTCTAGAAATGCTATTAGAAAATTTCAGTAAAAAATCGCTCCGACCATCATTCACCGATATCCATGATAGGGATAATTTCCCAAGTTACAGCGAACCTATGCGCAAGCCAAAATATACGCATTCGTAGATGACAGATGCGAGGCATTGAGCCGAATGAAAGAACTGTTGGGATAAACGTGAAGTCGAAGCCATATAAAATAAGAAATTT